GTGGCTTATGAGACTATAATGAAAGCTGCCTGCCACCAGATCTGGCTTCTAAGTACTTACTAGCTCCTGCTTCCTTTTTAGCATGCATGATAAACTAACGACCTAAAACAATAGTTTGAGCTCCAAATAAACAGAGGAGCAGAAGGAATGGGCTGTTCTAGGAACAGTTATTTATCATCAAAGGGTCAAAGGAGGTCGCTGCAGCAAATCCATCCCTCTCATTCAGTAAAGACACTAAAGTGTATTAGGTGGCTGCCTCAACAGCGTCCCTGATATTTGCGAACTGCTAAAATACGAGTGTGCAAGTATTTTTTAATTTGCCCAGCTCATTATCTCCAAAGAGTTTATAACATCAGACCTGGAGCCTTCATGTAAACAAATATTTCTTAAAAGAAAACCAGGAAATAGGTACTATCTTCTTTATCCTCCATCATCTGAGACTAGCCATCCATCCTAGCCTCATCATTTCTTGAATTCCTCAACCACAATGACCTTCAGCCATTCCTCTAAGTATTCCCTAGAATATATCATCACTCACAACTGCCCTACTCTGAAATCCTGTTTTCCAAGATTACTTTTCTTCTCAATTACTTCCAGCCTTTTAGATACCTTTTACATTCCTTTTAATACATCTACACTTTGGCCTCATTGAGACAACAGATGCAACGATCCTTCTATTTTCTCTCTATCAGTGCCTCCTAGTTCTGGCTCCTTTCTTGTCCAGTCTAGAATCCCAGGATCCATCACTTCAGCCATTTTCTAGCTACCCCCTTGCCAATACGTCTTCTGCCTTACCTGCTACTAATTCCTAATTCAGGAGTCAGCAAACCTTTTATATAAAGGACCAGAGAGTAAATCTTATAGGCTTTGTGGTACATACAGTCTCTGTTTGAACTACTCAGCTGTGCTGATGTAGCACAAAAGCAGCCAAAGACAATATGCGAGCTGAGTAGTGGGGCTGTTTTCCAATAAAACTTTATTTACAAAAACAGGCTGTGGACCAAGAGGCTGCAGTTCCCCAATCCCTGTCCTAATCCTATTTCAATTTAAATATCTACCCTCTTCATTCCTATCCCTGGGATGCTCAGCACTACAGGAGAAAAGCACAGGCGGCTGCAAATCTGGACTACAAATTACTCCTCCTCCGTCTTCTCAGTGTCTTATCAGCTCCCTCCTCCATTCTCTAGATTGGCTGTTCTAAATCTCCAGTCTCTTCACAGCCCTTTTACCACTCCAAACCCTCAGGCTTGGTAGGTGACCTCAGACAATAAGATACTGAGGCCATGACACATAGAGTGTGGCCCACGAAGGCTCAACGCATTTAAATTATTAAAAACAACAAAACCCTTCCCTCACATCTGGTACAGCCTTTCTCCTCTTTCCTTACAGGCCCGCAGCATGAGGTGACTCTCTTTCTGGTCTGGATTTTTGTCTGCCTTCCCCACATCATGCTCCATCTTGGGATCTCTCACCCACCGGCTCTTGTCTCCTTTCTCTCACCTCGAATCCTTTCCTATAACGGCCTCTGTGTTCCATGTGGCAGTGCCATCATGACTTCTGTCCTATAGATGGAGATACTGACATGCAGAGAGGTCAAGGGCCTTGCCTAAGGTCACACAATTAGTGGTTGAGTTGAGATTATGAACCCAGGCAGTCTGACTCCAGAACCTGTGCCATTAACAACTATGCAATTCAGCCATTCTTTGTGCTATGTTGTGATGTAATTACATTTACATAAGTTTTAAAACCCAAAATACAGTATTAAAATTTTTTGCTTTAAAGAGTTGTATGTTACTTTTCAAATTAGAATTAAAAATAAAATATATAGTATTTTATATTTACCCACATATTTATAATTTCCAGTGTTCTTTTTTTTTTCCACGAGTCACTGGGGTCTTCCCTTACACATACAGTTTAGCAGTCAGTCAAGGATTTGGGCAGAGTTTATAAATGGAATCTGAGACTCCATCTGAGTCTCCCTCCCTTTCAGGGTTTCCCTCATAAATTTTCAGCTTCTCTGCCAGTGCTGAACTCTCTCTTTTGACATCTCAGGCCATGTGCACTGAACAGTACCCTCAAGGTATTAATTTCAGTTACTATATTTTTCGGCTTTGGAATTCATGAATTCACTTGATTCTTTTTTTTATAGAGAGTAGTATTCTATTCTGATGAAATTCCCCATCTTTTCCTCTGTTTTCTTGATTATATTAATCATAATTATTTTAAAGTACCTATCTTATAACTTCAGTGTCTCGATTATTTGTGAGTCTCTTTCCGTTGTCTGTTTTCTCCTGTATTTCTGGTCATTTGGTCATTTCCTGGTATGCCTGGTAATTTTTTGTTGAATGCCAAACATTATGCATGAAAAATTGTAGCAGCTCTCAAGAAAGGATTTCATTGTCTTCCAGACACTTTGCTCTAGCTGAAGTTCGGTTTCAGCATTTGGGAGGGCTGTTCTGTTTCTGGCTTGTCCTTACTCCTAGAGTGTACTTCTGATGCTTAGGGTGTAGCCTGTTAGAGAGCCCAGCTGAAAGCACAGAGTATTTACCAGAGCCCCTGCAATTTGGCATATCCTGAACTCCAACCTCTGTCTCAGTGCCACAAGATTATGAGAATCTCTGATTAGCTCGTCAGCCTCTTCCCATTTAGGTTGGCTAAACGGGTTGGCTGCTTCCCATTTCGTTTCTTGGCATCTTATCCAGAACATGAGCAGTTTAGCAGCAGGCAGATATAACAGTAAGAAATTACACAAAGACTTATGGACTTTTCTCTGTGATTCCCTCCCCTCTGGAATATTGGCCCCTTGAGTCCCTGACACCTTGGAAGTCCAAAACTCCAACCCTACCTCCCAAGCTCAGTGAGACTGTGGAAAGCCCAGGCCTCTAATTTTCCCTCGGCTTCTATCATCCTGCTCTGCTAATAAGCAAACGATGCAAGCAGGGAAAACGGAGGTGAATGTGGGACCAACTAAATGTGAACTAGTTTCCCACTCTTCTCACATCACTTCTGACACCAAACGTGTGGGCTTTCCACACGAAGGATTTCTCCTGTGCTCTGTGGACACCCAGTTGGGTGTCCTACAATTTAATTCAATTCTGACACTAACTACCCAGAGTTAGTGCAGACCCCAGAGATTAAGGGCTTAAACCCTCAAGACTGCCCCCCATTTCAGATGCCAATTGCAAGTTCAGGCCTCCTCTATTTCTGATCTGTTGACTGTAAGTTGAAGGATCCCATGGTCCCCTCCTTGGGTTTGATAATTTGCTAGAATGGCTCACAAAACTCAGGAACATGCTTTACTTACTATTACTGGTTTATGAGGAAACAGCCAAATGGAAGAAATGCATAGGGCAAGGTATGGGATAGGGGCACAGAGCTGCCATGTCTTCTCCAGGTGTGCCATCCTCCCAGAACCTTTATGTGTTCCCCAACCAGGAAGCACTCTAAACCCCGTTGTTTAGGGTTTTTATAGAAGTTCCAATACGGAGGCATGATTGACCAAATCACTGTCCCCTGATGATTAACTCAGCATCCACCCCCTCTCCTCTCCCCACAGGTCAGGGGTGGGCTTGAAAGGGCTTATTATGAATAACAAAAGATGCTCCTCTCTCTCCTATCACTCAGGAAATTACAAGCGTTTCAGGAGCTCTGTGCCAGGAATCAGTGATGAAGACCAAATATATATTTCTTATTATATCACAATATCACAATCCTTTTTCCTAGGATCCTGACCCATCATGTGTTTTCTACCTTGGTTGCTTTACGATGACTTCTAATAGTTTTCCAGCTTTAACCAGTATTTTGGGGGGAGGATTAGACTAATGCTATCTACTTCATTTTAAGTAGGAGAAGAAGTCTTCCTTGTTAACTGGTTTTAGAGGAACTTCTTGCTAATTTTTATAATTAAATGTACTTGGTACACAAGCAGTGACCAAAATTTATTTTCAATTTTCTTTTTGTGGTATTTGTGAAAGAAATGAATCAAAATAACTTCCCAGGGGACAGCCAAGCACATAAACTAACATGGCCATCATAACCAGTACTAACTGGGTTCTCCATCAGCAGTCTCAGCAGAAAAGCTGATCTGGTGACAAAACTAAGAATTAGTCTTATTTTTAGGCTACTCAATTCAAAACGTTCTGGAAAGAGCAGTAAGAAGAGTCTTTTGTTATTCACTGGCCTTACTAGCACCAAGATAAATTTCTTTAACCTCAACATTTTGGCTTCCATTGTTTGTATTTATATTGTACTTGTGACCTGAATTTGAGAAAGTTTATAAGATTTATATTAAAAACTTTATATTTATATGAGTTAATTAGCATTATCATATATGAGAATAAACTACTTAGTCTTTGAAAAATGCACCAGCAAACAAGTTATTCTTTTACTAATTAACTTTACAGAAGAAAGTATAATTATAAAAATGTAGGATTTAATATCTGATGGCCAACGACCTGGAATCTCAACTGGCTTTATCCTTTATCATCCAGTCTAAAGAATACTGCAACCCTCTTAATGTTTTGTAAGACAGAAAAGGGAAGAGATTCTCCACCTGTTTTTGGAATCAGTACACAACTCTTTTAAAAAAGGGAAAACACACACACACATATGCATGTGTTCCTATATATATATATATATATATATATATATATATATATATATAGGTGTGTGTGTATATACATACTGATATACATACTAAACAATTTTTTTCATATAGTTTTTTAACAACTAGCCTAAATGTTTAACAGGAAGCTCTTCTTTAATGCTAGTTCTTTCTAATTTGTTCTGCATCAAAACTGTTCAGAACGTGTGCTTCAATCAAGCACTTGTAATCCACAAAGATGAACTGCTATTAGCCCTTTAATAAAAGGGGACTTCCCCAGCTCAAGTACGTCTCTTAATACCAATGGATGGAGAGTAAAACGAGGGAACAAAAACAGGAGACAGAAAGCAGAGAAAAGTAAAAGAAGAGTACTTCAAGAGGTTTTTTGTAGACTCACCCCACGTGGTTAAGGTCTTGAGGCTTTCATCCTCCATCTGAACCAGGCCGGATTCTGTTCGCTTCTGATGGTCCTTACTGATTATTACAGTCTGTTTCACTGGGTCAAGTGTTTTGAATGAGGGAGAGACAGAGAGTGTCTCCACAGAGCCCTGGTTATAGAAAGCAGAATCCGACTTTGATATCCTTAAATTAGTGTTGATGAACTCTTCTTTACTAGATGGCCAAAATGCTGGTAAAGTTGTCAATGTTTCAAAACTTTTTGCAGCTGGCTGCTTTTCTAGAGACGTTTGCAAAGGGTTTTCTATTACAGTATTTGTAATGGTACTGTCTGATTTCTTGTCGAAACTCACACTTGTCTGCAGAGATGGGCTTTCTTCTGAGGGAACAGGCACAGCATCTGTGAAGTAACAAATAAGAACTGTAAACAAAAAATAAAACTGAAAATACTCTATTTCAAATTTACTGCATTTTTAATAATTGGATTTTTTTATGCCATAACAGAATTCTCTCCTATTTAGTCGTTTCTACTTTCTTACTATGTTTCTATTCTGTCTGTATAAAGTATACCCAAGCTATAATTGATGCACTAGTCATTTGGTGGCTGTCTTCTCTTTCTTTCTCCTCACTGAAGCCAAGTCAAGGAAAGCTTCAAATAACTTGTCTTTAAATATTTCTCCCTTCACCCACTTATCTGTCTCTGAAACCACTATATTTTTAGTGCCTTCAAACCTTCATCTCTTACAAGATAAACTAGAGAAAATATGCCACATCATACTGGTCTAGCCTTACAGAACCCCCAGCTACAAAAAAGCCTTTTTCCCCAGAAATAAAAAATGTCTTCCCACCCCAGTGTCTATACAAAGCCCGTAAAAGAAAATCACTCTCTTAGATAGCAACCTAATTTTCATGATAAATCTCTGTGGGAGAAAAAAAGCAATTTTCCAGAGCAGTTGTGATGATTACTAAAATGTAAGTTCCATCAGGTCAGGGATCTTTGTCCCTTTTATTCATTAATATTACCAAAGTACCTAGAATATAACAGGCAAAGTACCTGGAATACAACAGACAAATAATATTTATTACAAATTGAAGGAATTGAAAGAATGGAGAGGATCTGGAATTTAGGGTGGGTCTGATATGGAAATATTACTGAATATGAATTATGAGCCTGGTCCAAGTTTCTAGATGCAAATTGTTATCAACACTGTCATTGCTAGGGACTTGCTCTCAGATAGTTTCATCTGAAATTGGATATGGAAAGAAAGAAAACTGAGAGAGGGCAAGAGGAAGACTGTCTCATTTGAGCTCCCAAAAGAGAGGAGGCAACAGGAATTAAGTAAGTTGCTATCAAGTGTTTACATAACACAATGTGCATGACAACACACCTCACAGTGTGCAGTGAGACGCTTATTATCATCACGCGCAGGCTCTGAGTTATTATAAAGAAAAACAAATTCTCTTTGACTCTAACCTTCCTTTCCATTTTCATCCACAGTTGGAGGCTAACCTGGGCAAAAGTGTTACTAGTTTACCACAGAATCAGACAGTTCAAGAAACCTAAATCATTACCTCTACCAGGAATTCCATTTTTTCCCAGACCTCTCATCTCCAAACTTTTTCATCTTTTAAAACTCAATTCAACTCTCACCTTCTCTATAAAGCTTGCCCTGATTTTTTTTCCTCGCCTAATCCTATTATTGTTTATCTTACCATATCCTGTTCGGAGCCCTGTGCGCAGTTGTAACACTTCATCTTGTTAACTACAAGTCTGGCTGCCCACCTGAAAACAGGCTCCTTGAGGAGACCTTACTAGGAGTTTTCTTTATGCCGCAGCACACAACAGTGCCATTCCCATAGGATGTGTTTGATAAGTGCTTGTTGAGTGAAAAGCCAAACTGAAGCACAAGAATAAAAAAAGGTAATGCCTTTGTTTTTTAAATTGAATATAGTTTAACTACTTAATAACTTCTAAAATATTCCTGATGTGCATATGATCAAGTTATATACCTAGCTGATAAACGTTCTTTTAAAAATTAATATATTCTTAGTAGAGTACGAGATCAATGGTATCCCAAAGTGCATGTGTACATCACCAGATTGACATAAAAGCATTCCTAAAAAGTGAATTTTAGTTAAATATTTTTCCATTGACTTTAATTTTTCTTAGGAGGAAAGTCTTTCTATAAGTAATGAAAGCATCTTGAAATTTAGCAATATGTAAACTAAGATAATTCAGAGTGACAATGACTTTCTGATGACAATATTCATAATAACACTCCATCTAAATCTCAGAATTGGGATGTATAAAGTCATCTGTATAACCATAATTTTAAAGTTTAGTACAAAAGTTTAAAATTACAAAAGAACAAAAAAAAAAATTAAAATTCAATGAAAAAAACCAGACTGGAGTCATTATGTTTCTATCAGCCCCCTTTCTCAATAGTCCAGAAAGAACAGAATGCAATCTTCTGGTTACTTAGACTTTTTAAAAAACTGATAACCTTTTAAAATGAATAAAATACTATGATCTAAAAGAGAAAGCATGATGACAAATGGAAAATAATTATTTTAAACGCACAGATTACCTAAAAGAGAAAAATCTTCACTTAAACGGAAAGCTAAAGAGGCCTGAAGATTCTAGACAGCAAGTTGTACTGGGTTTCTATGCCATCAGCCGTGTTTCATCCCTGCTCTTTCTGTGCAACATGCCAAACTGATCCTCTTCAATTCAATCTCTACTTTAGTTATTTATAGTTCACGTTAAAAAAATCCTGCAAAAATTCCCTCTTGTTTCAGTGACAAAGTCTACATGCCTTGGGTTTAAAGGCCCTTCATTGCTTATTTTCTATCGTTACTCAATAGGAAACTAACCCTCAGTCAGGCCATTCTCTTGGTTACTCACACACCCCATGTTCATTCAGGTCCCTTTATCCTCATTCTCCGTGTTATTTCATCTTTCTTTAGCTTTATTACCATTGATTTCTTACCCTGCACTCCAACACTGGAACACCCTCCCCGTTCTCTGTCTATTTAAATCCTACCTATTCCTCAAGGTCCTTCTCAAATAATTACTATTTCTGGAAGCTATTTCCAGTCATGTCTATCACTCAATCCTAATCCTTCCCTTCTATGAAATAGTATTTATTTCTGTAAACTCATTTTTTCACTGAATTATTTGCTGTATAGAGCCTATCACACACCATATTATGTTCCTGCATTCTGACTTCATAGCCTCCACCATGCTTTTGCCTATAGGAGGTGTGCAAATATTTGTTAAATTTAATAATTCCTTAATTTGTAAATTATCTAATATCAATTTTATATGTTGACTTTGTGTATAACAATGCATAGTGTATGTGAAGCCTAAAAATAAGAATGATCAATCAGGAAACGCTTGTTGAGCACCTACTGTTTGCACTGAACTCTTAGATTTTAGAGACATACTTAAGAAGAAGTCATAGTTCTAATTGTCAATGAACTTAAGAGCAAGTGTGTATTTTATTGAGACAGATAAGTAGATAGGTAGAAGGAAAGAATATATATACATACTTGCATGCATATACACACTAAGTGCCAAAGACATAAAAATAACTAATAATACAAGTTACCAGTTCAATTTCACAATGTATAGGAGACTGCAGCTTCTCAATAAATGAGTGAATATAAAGAATACATTTGTTTAGCAAATGGTCTTTTTCATGGAAAAAAAAGAAAGTATTTGTATATTTGTATACAGATTTACATAACGTAAATTGAACATGTTTCAGTTTGGGTTCCCCCAAAAGCAGACTCTGAAAAAAAGACTTAGATGCAGGTAGTTGATTTGGCTGGTGATCCCAAGAGCACAAGTGAGGGAGTAGGAAAGGTAAAACAAAAAAGGGCAAAAGCCAATAAACTGTATTAATTACCAGATTATAATATATATATATATATATATACATACACACACATACACACATATATATTGTGCTGAGAGGAAACAAAAACTGTCAATGCAGAATTCTATATTCAGCAATAATGTCCTTTAAAATTGAAGGCAAAATAAAAACATATTCAGATGAATAAAAACTAAGAGAATTAATGGCTAGCAGGCCTTTATAACAAGAAATGCTAAAGGAAGTACTTCAGGTTGAAGAAAAATTATTATACCAGATGGGAAGTTGGATCTTTGGGAAGGATAAGGACTGCTAGAAATGGGAAATATTAAGGTAAATATAGAATATTATTTTTTCTCTTAATTTCTTTAAAATATATGTGACTGTTTAAAAAATTATAACACAGTGTGAAGTAGTACAACAAATGTAAATATAATTTATACTACAATCATGGCATAAATGATGGGGTAGTAAATTAGACCTATATTGTTGCAAGATTCTTACATTTTATGCGAAGTGGTGATGCAATGGGACTGCACAAGGTTCAGGATATATAAATTAATCCCTAGAGATACCACTAAAATTAATACAAAGAGGTATAACTGAAAATCCAATTGATAAATTAAAATGGAATTCTAAAAAGTATTGAATTAGCCCAAAAGAAGGCAGTAAGGAAAGAACAGAGGAACAAAACACAGATGGGACAAGCAGAAAATAAAATAGTAGACCTAAATCCAACCATACCAGTGTTTTTTTCAGTCATATTTTCCAGACTGGATAAAAAACAAGATCCAATTATATGCCGTATACAAGAGACACAGTTTAAAAACAAAGTCACAAGTAAATTGAAAGTAAAAGGATTTTAAAAGACATACCATGTAACAATAAGCATTAAAAAGCTGAGTGGCTATATTAAGGTCAGATAAAATAGGCTTCAAGACAAAGGGTATTATTAGAGAATAAAAGGGACAGTTCATAATGACAAGAGTCAATCATCTGGAAGATATAAACATAATATGTGTATGCAGATGTATAACAGAGTTTCAAACTAAATGAAGCAAAAACTGATCAAATTAAAGAGAGAATTAGACAAACCCAACCAAATCACAGTTGGCAATTTTGATACCCCTCTCTCAGCAAGTGACAGAATACACAAAATATCAGGATACACAAGACATAAACAACACTATCAACTGTCTTTACTTAATCACATCTATAAAGCACCACACCTAACCACTGCGGAATACACATTTTTTGGTAAATTTGCAAGTATACATGGTATGTTTACCAAGATAAACTATATGCTGAGCCATGAAACAAATCTCAATAGACTTTAAAAGCCTGAAATCTTATATTAACTTCTCTGGCCAGTGGAATTGAATTAGAAATAAATAATAATATACCCAGAAAAAACTCCCCAATATTTGGAGATTTAAAAACACATTTCAGGGAATTCCCTGGTGGTCCAGTGGTTAGGACTCCACGCTTTCACTGCCTAGGGTGCGAGTTCAATCCCTGGTCA